ATGATGTTCCGGATGAGGAGATCACTGACCTCAACGATCTTCAAAAGGCTCGCGCCATTGTGGGTGAACTGCGTTGGCTGACAGCACAAACCAGAGTCGACTTGACGTACTATGTTGGAGTCACTGCACGGCTTCTGCATCGCCGCCCGAAGTTTGCTGTTCATCTTTGTGAGGAGATCCTGAAATATGTCAAGGCCACGGAGGACTACGGACTTCACTACAAAAGGGTCGTGGAGGGATCCCAGAGACGTTCGACATGTTGAGGTGTATTCTGACGCTTCCTTTGCACCCTCGGCTGGGCAATGCAAGAGCGTGCAGGGCACCTTGGTCTCAATTGTTGGCTGCACAGTGATGTGGCCCAGTTCTCGTCAGACCCTCGTGTCACAATCAACGGCCAAAGCCGAGCTCATCATCGGTATGATGGAGGAACATCAACATGGTGAAGGAATCTCATCGTTGGTGGAAGAAATGCTCCAAAAAGATGTCACTTCCACTCTGTATGCTGACAATCGATCAGCCATCAGTCTGTCAGCCACCGACTGTGGTGCCTGGCGAACACGCCACTTGCGGCTGCGAGCCCATGGTCTTCGATCAAGCATGAGGGCAGCTGGAACAAGATGGGCTGCTCATCACATGCCTGGCATCTATTTGGGAGTTGATTGATGCTCTCACCAAGGCTGCTCAAGGACCTCAAGGGCAGAAGCTCTTGCAGTACCTTGCCATTGGTCCTATCGATCCTCAACCTGTGGATGATCCAAAGATTCTTCGTGGCCTACGTGGTCGCGCAGCTTCAGTTGTCACGAAGTTGATTGACGCTGCATCTGCATTGGTGGCTGTTGCCACATTGGGGGGAGCTGATGCACTACTCTTTGCTGGTTTGGGGGGTGCACTGGCGGTGTTGGCAAAGCACTTGAAACTTGATGGTCGCTGGTGCAATGATCAAGCCCGAGATCATCCTCCTGCCGAAGTTCAAGGCCATGTTGCTGCTCTATCTCAGGGGCAAGGTGGTGAACATCAAGCGCCTTCAGGCCACGCTCAAGGTCATGATCATGGTCTATCTCCAGGGCATCCTGCGGGAGATCAGCATCACTCTAAAGAAGTTGACAGTGACGACCATGGCCAACATGAAGGTGATGAATGCGACGCAAGAAGATGCTGGTGGGGCTATCCAACTTGGGTTGGATGCCTGTCGAATTATCTCCCTGGCCAAAGCGCCTGTGTCAAATGAAAAACTAGACGACGGATGGCCCGAGAGCGTAGAGGAGCAGGGTCTTCTCTTGTTAGTATGGAGATGCAATTTTAGAAACGGTATATGAAAGCTGTGTTATAGGCAGTCGAGAAGAGGAGTATCAAGACAAAATAGTGAGAAGTGCAAGACAATAGTTTGCATCGCAAACACTTTTACACACAGACGCTTTTACACAGACGCTTTTACACACAAAGCTTTTACCCACAGAAGCTTTTACACACAGAAGTTTTTACAGACAGAAGCTTTTACATACAGAAGCTTTTACATACAGAAGCTTTTACACACAGACGCTTCTACACAGACACTTTTACACACAGACACGTTTACACACAGACACTTTTACACACAGACCCTTTTACACACAGGAGCTGCTTTTACACACAAACGCTTGTACACACAGAAGCTTTTACACATAGACGCTTTTACACACAGGCACTTTTACACAGAAACACTGTTACACACAAACACTTTTACACACAGGCGCTTTTACACGCAGACGCTTTTACACACAGAAGCTTCTACACACAAACACTTTTACACACAGACGGTTTTACATACAAAGACTTTTACGCAGAAACACTTTTACACACAGACGCTTTTACCTCAGTTTTTGCCGATCGACCTTCATTTCGTGCGAAAGGGTTGCTCCGGGGCAAGTCAAATCGCAATTTTACCTCAGTTTTTGCCGATCGACCCTCATTTCGTGCGAAAGGGTTGCTCCGGGGCAAGTCAAATCGCAATTTTACCTCAGTTTTTGCCGATCGACCCTCATTTCGTGCGAAAGGGTTGCTCCGGGGCAAGTCAAATCGCAATTTTACCTCAGTTTTTGCCGATCGACCCTCATTTCGTGCGAAAGGGTTGCTCCGGGACAAGTCAAATCGCAATTTTACCTCAGTTTTTGCCGATCGACCCTCATTTCGTGCGAAAGGGTTGACGTTTCGTGACTCGCCGCCGGCACCACCCTCGGCCTTAAGAGAGAAAGATAAAAAGAAGGCGTGAGAGAGAAGGTGAGCAGGTGTGAAGATAAGAAGATGTGAAGATGAGCAGATGTGAAGATGAGCAGATGTGAAGATGAGCAGATGTGAAGATGAGCAGATGTGAAGATGTGTGAAGATGAGCAGATGTGAAGATGAGCAGATGTGAAGATGAGCAGATGTGAAGATGAGCAGATGTGAGAGATGTGAAGATGAGCAGATGTGAAGATGAGAAGATGTGAAGATGAAGGTGTGAAGATGAGCAGATGTGAAGATGAGCAGATGTGAAGATGAGCAGATGTGAAGATGAGCAGATGTGAAGCAGATGTGAAGATGTGTGAAGATGAGCAGATGTGAAGATGAGCAGATGTGAAGATGAGAAGATGTGAAGATGGGAAGGTGTGAAGATGAGCAGATGTGAAGATGAGCAGATGTGAAGATGAGCAGATGTGAAGATGAGCAGATGTGAAGATGAGAGGATGTGAAGATGGGAAGGTGTGAAGATGAGCAGATGTGAAGATGGGAAGGTGTGAAGATGAGCAGATGTGAAGATGAGCAGATGTGAAGATGAGAAGGTGTGAAGATGGGAAGGTGTGAAGATGAGCAGATGTGAAGATGGAAAGGTGTGAAGATGAGCAGATGTGAAGATGAGAGGATGTGAAGATGAGAGGATGTGAAGATGAGCAGATGTGAAGATGAGAGGATGTGAAGATGAGAGGATGTAAAGATGAAAAGATGTGAAGATGAGAGGATGTGAAGATGAGAGGATGTAAAGATGAAAAGATGTGAAGATGAGAGGATGTGAAGATGAGATGTGAAGATGAGAGGATGTGAAGATGAGATGTGAAGATGAGAGGATGTGAAGATGAGATGTGAAGATGAGAAGATGTTTGACAGACCCCCACTATTGGAAGAACCCTGCGCTCAGACGCTCTCGGGAAGAAATCAAAAAGAGCTTGAAAGGCCAACAAGATCCAGGATCAAGACCACACAAGGACCATAAGAACGGCCAAAACCCCAGAAGGTATGTGGATAAAAACGGAGCGGCACGTCTCCCAAGTCGACCTGGCACGACATCCCAAAAGAAAATGGATGAATTTTTCCGGGCTGGGGGGAGCCAAGAAAAAAGTAACAGAAGACCACACAAGGATCCTGGACCACTTCAAACTCATGGGAAAGCGACGGAATGGCACGTCACCCCAGTAGAGCTAATAGGTCTCTGGATGAGACATCCCTCAAAAGGGATTTTCAAAATGCCCCAGGTTTTCGAACCTCGGATCGGGCACGACCCCGTGCTGGCCATAGCAAGTCAGAGAGGCAATCAACGCATGTATTCAAACTGGATGAGCCAGTTCCCAAGTGGCTCAAACTATGGAGGGCGACTGGCCCAACTCCAACTGCGGTTTCGGATCCCATTGAGAATGTGGAGGTCTCCCGCATGGACACTTCAGATGATGAAGCATTGCGTGATGCAATGCCTGCTGTTCGAGCTCTACGACATGATCCCGGAGGAGCTCAGCTACCAAAAGACAAAAAGAAAGGCCAAGGCGAAAGTCAAGGCCAAGGCCAAAACGCAAACGACACCCACGCCCAGTCAGGACCCAACGGGCGCAAGTGGCTATGCATCTTCCGCTGACAGCGAAGTTGAAATGGACCCTGGCGTCCCATATGATCATGGGAGTCTGGTGCTTCCTAAAGCCCCACCGAAGGCATGGATTGCCAGGCAATTGGGTGCTCCACCACCTGCTCCAAAGAGCGCAACGGCATTATCTACGGGAACTGGTCAGGCAATTGGCCCCAAGGCAAAAGCCAAAGCTCGTGGACAAGATGCAATGATGCTGTGGTATGGCGCTGCACCTGCAACAAAAGCACCACCTGAAGAACATGGTGATCCACAACGGGCTTTTGATCCTCCAGGTGCACCTTACCCTGTGCACCCGAGTTGGGCGCCAAATCTCGTGGCGAACTGGCCATGTCACTGCGGCCTCGAGGACCTCTCCGTGAAACGGATCTGCCTCTTTCTGTCGACACTGCGACTTCTTCGATGTCTGATGCAAGACGATTAGCAGCCATCGTGGTGCGGATACCTCTGAAGTTTTTCAATGTGATCCTCAAACTGACGTTTTACCAGTTCAGCACGTGCCCACTGAGCAGAGTGGAAGACCGGTGTTGCCTTGGGGAACTGCAACAAATGTTGCCAGTTCATGGCTTTTGCACTGGTGTAGGGAGCCTTGAGCCTACAGACCTCTCCACGTACCACCCCAGTACAGCTGCGCAGCCGGCGCAATTAGTAGTCTGAGAGATGATGGCTCAGCTACCAAGGGGGAGCGCATGTGGATTTTGAAAGGTCAAAGGAGTCAAAGGCATTTAGAAGGTTTCACACCAACTGGCATGGACATGCCTTACTGCAGTGACATGCTGCAGGCTCTTTTGCTCCAAGGAAAAAGCATCCCTGCTTGCTCCGCTTGCAATTTTTATGAACTCACACATAAAACATGTGTATACATATATATATATAATCGTGTGTGCATGTGTGCATTTACCTATCAAAATGCCTATTTTTCCATCTATCCATTTACATTCATTTGTATACATATCTGTTGAAACATGCACTGATTTGTTTGTCCAGCTGCACTTTTATCAATATGATATCTGGCTACAGTATCTACCAAACCATTCAATTCAATTCATGTAAGCAAAAGAATCGAGAATCATGCGGGGAAAGAACTAAAAGTTTATATATCCAAATTTGAATCCAAGTCCTCATGACAGGGCACACTCCATAGTTGAAGGCAATGTGAGCCTGCAAGACATCTGCACAGCAGCTACCAGAGGACAATATCTGAAGTGCGGGCAGCTATGGGCAGCTGACAGCATCGGATGCACTGAGTCTTGAGCAAAAAAGATGGCCCAAAGGCTTGGATGCAGAGCTACGCCCAAAGGCATACCAAGAACCCCAGGCTTTCCAGAGCCTTGTCGCATCTTGTCGCACGTGTATTGCAATATTTGCAATGCTGCCCGTGACGTGGAGTTTTTTGGGAGCTTTGGACGATATTTTGGAAGTTGGTCCAAAAGTGTCCAGAAAGATACTGAAGGACTGTGGCCCCTGCCATCCTTACCCTCATCCTTACCGCCTTGGACGGTTTGCCATGGCTCGCCGGCAGAAAGCAGACTGTTCCGGATGGTTTCAAGTTTCAACGTGTTTCAACGTGTTTCAACATGTTTCAACCAAATTCTTCCAAGATACTCTTGGGCTTTGGTCTGGGGACATTCGCCTCGGCAAAGACTGACTTTCAGCGGGGCTTTGTGACAGGTGACGAACAAATCAGGCCTGCAGGAATTTCAGCTCGCTGTCAGAGATGTAAAAACACCTTTCCGCAGGTTCCCAACCCTACATGATCTACCTGATAGAAGGCCGAATCACGTCACTCAGCAATTCTTCACAACTCCAATGTTGTTTCTCAGCTGAAAGCATCGGTGGTCGTGCCATTGCTTTTTTTTCCTTCTGCTGACCCTTCGGAGTCTGACCGAGCGTCAGGCTCGCAGCCTGACTGCGATTTTCCGGCCATGAAGCACAGCCAAAGTTCTCCCCCTGCCCCTAGTCCGACACGCGGACACCAGGGTTTGTCGTCTTCCTGCGACACCAATCCCCGCAGTCTTTCCGTATCCTCGTCCAACAACTCTGTGGCACCCACCTCGTCCAGGAGAAGGACTCCTGACCAATCAACACTTCTTGGCATAGGATTCCGCAGCTCTTGGACAAAGAGCCAAGCCAAATCTGGATCAACCACCACCATCTGCTCCACCAACGCCCATGCAATCCCTTTCAGTTTGTCTGCTACTCTAGGGCTGAGAAATTTGATGGCAAGTGCAAGAAGTTGTTTGGAAATATTTTGGACCAACGATGAGTCTCCAGACAGGAAAGCCAACACATCAAGGGCAGCACACTGCATCTTGAACTCGGAGCAACCTGGAGAGGCAGAGGCCTGGGTTACTGGGGTCGCACTCCTCAGCCGAAGCCAAAGGTTATCCCAGCAATCATCTATGAAGCGCCGTCGTATGAAGTCTCCAGAAAGTCTGGCAACATGTTTTAGTAAGATACACGCATCAGCCTGAGCGGCAGTTGGAACTTGTTGCGAAAAGGAAGGGACCAGTTGCTGCCAGATATCATGCACATGTGGCAGCAAATCCCTCACCTTTGTTGAAAGGACAGTGAGCCCATGCACGACAGCGACGTGAGCCAAATGCCTGGACGTAGGAAACGAAGATTGCAAGTCGTGCCTGGCCCACATGACAATACTGGATGCAATCCGCCTTTGCATCGATTGAAGTTGCTCGGATCGCTCGGATCCCTCGGATCTATCTAAGTGGTCTTCCCCTGACTCAGTTTCCTTGTATGCGTCCTCGTCCAAGAAATGTCCAAGGTCGTCAAGAAGAAAACCATCACGACGTTGAGCAGATTTCCAAGTCTGCTGCCCTCCAGACAGAAATGCCGCCACAGCTGATGATTCCGACTGGTTACACTTGGCCCTTGGCTCCGGCAACTTGGTTCCCTGCTCAGACCGCTTTAGCCGGTTATGGCAAACTACCAATGCCAATCTTTGCACAATGCCAGCAAGACATCGTAGAATCCAGGCTGGCTTTCCAGAAGCCCCCTTTCCGGTGCTTCCTTTGCATTTTGCGAATGCTCCAGTCATTAGCGTATGCACCACATCTGCTAGAAACGGAATCATCTCCAAACCTGAGGGTGGAATCAGGAAGTTGCAGAAGTTGAATGTTTCACCCATCAAAGCACGGGGAGTGGTGAATAGCATGTTTTTCCTAGACAACCCCAAATCATGAGCAAGATATGATGACATCGCACTGAAGTCGAAGGTTGCTGCGAGTGCATGCAGCCAGTTTGGTCTGAGTTTAGCACTAGCATGCTGCACAACTGCATCGAGAAGAAGAGGAAGCTTTGCGTTCCGGCAGTCTTCCATGCTGTCGATCTCGGATATCTCAAAACGCAGCTGAAAGCAAATATCTCCCACCAAATAGTCCGCATACTCTTCCAAAAGTTTGCTGACCTCAAGTTTGCTGCACTTCTCAGCAGTAAATTTTGATGGAAAACCAAAAGTGAGACTTGACTGTTGTCTTTTATCATTGTAGAGATCATGTTTTTAGCCACGCCTCAGATCCTGGAGTCCTCTGGATCGAAGTCCTCTGGATGGATGCTTCAGCAACAAGGAGCCGGTAAAGCAGAACCAGCGTGCCTTGGCTGCCAGAATCAGCATGGACTGCTGTCATCTGCTTTCCGCAACACAAACCAATTACACCAAGGCACCGTGGCTTGCTATCGATATCGCAAAGGATCCTTACCCCAGGGACGTGCCGGTCATGACATGCTGCTGCTGCCGTTCTATGTCAGATACGGCTAGCTAGGCATGAAGTGATCCGGGCTACACAGTACCAGGAATCGTGTCGTGCAAAACCATCAATCTGACTGGAGGATTATTTCAAAGTACGATGGCAAATATAGCTTAGAATAACTGCAGCCTTCCGGCATGCAAACACTTTGCATGAACACGTTTGCTGGTCGCTTAGCAGCCCTAGCACTCCTAGGAACTTGTGGTCACTTGTGGTTACCCGAATGGTGACCCCGCGCTTGAAGCTTGCAAGAGCTTGACACACATAAAGATCATAAAGCAACCGGGCAGCTCGTCCCCAAATCTTCGAGGAGTGGCTTGAGGAGGTGCCTTACCTGAAGCTGCACAGCCACACAGCCACGCACACATTGAGCACATTGAATCTAACAGTCTGACAGTCTGGCATAGAATAAACATCGCCACTTGCAAACTCTTTCCAACTCTTGCCAACAGTCTGCCAACAGTGTCACAGAAAAAGGGGCTCAAGGGTTTCCTCAAGAGACAAAACCACCGTCAGCGCCACACTAGTTAGTCACTAGTTGCTTGCAAAAAGTTTTCTGCCTGGCCTGTCGATGCACCTGTCGTCCATCTTGACGTGCCAGTGCTTGCAGTGCCGAGGTCATCAGCTGATGCACAGCGAGAACATGCAGCCTTGTGATTGTCGGACGACCAGCAGTATTGTTGTACAAATGGGGGTTGGTCAGCTTTCATTCAGCTCAAACAGATCTACTGCTGACTTAGCAAAACAACAACGCTGCCGCCCGCACAAGCACTCACCACCACCACTGAATTGAATCGGAAGGGACTCCAAATCTGTGTGCAACTGCTGGGGGCAACCAAAAAGTTTGGAAAAATGTAGAGGAAAGAATCGAGAAAAAAAAGACTTTGTTTTCCTTTCTAGCTGCTTGTGTGCTTTCGATTTTCAATTTATGTTCCATTGGTTCACTTTGCATGTGGCTTATGCCACCTCTACTGTTTGCACCAAAGAAATAGAGCCCCAGTTTTGCATTCCTTAATTCCCCCTCTGTCTGTTTAGGATTCATATGGATACATATGGATACATATGGAAATCATATGGAAATCATATGGAAATCATATGGAAATCATATGGAAATCATATGGACATGTGTGTTTTCGGCGGGGATCTGTTCCACAAACACCGGCTCCCAAGATCTCCGGAGTGGAAAGTAAAAACTACCTCACCCAGTCCTGTTGGCCTTACATGCGAACAAGCAACACCAATTCGTTGGTTGGGGCTGGAGGCATGGCCTCCCTGGCAGATATGGCAATATTTAAGCAATGGTTCACTAACCAAAGAGGAATCAGAGATTTGGCCGCATCACTTCGAACCAGAGGTCCGCGTTCAAGCTGTTCTGCACTCTGATCCAGAAAAGCTGCCAGGGCAACCATGGCCCCAGTACGTCGCTGCACTGCCAAGTCTTGCGTCTCTGTTTCGCTCGCAAACACATCGCCCCTATCCTGCCAGTCATTTGCCCCGGCTCCCAGTGGTCTATTGCTCTCCTCAAAAATGCTTGTGAAAAGCGTCTCAGCACCAATCACTCCTGACAGCCTCCCCAGCATTGACCGAACCCGGTTGGCAAGATCCTCTCTCCCGTCGGCCAAGTACAAAGCCCGAAGGATCCACATCTTGACCTGAACAGACTCCTTAGGAAGATCTGGAGTCACGTGCTCGAGATGCTCGCCTTCCGCGTCAAGATGGTGTGCGGAAGCATCCTCTCTGTCCAGACTTAGATATCTTTGCTCACTATCTCTCACATCATAGGGGAAAAGCTGCACAAACTTCTCCGCTCGACTCACTGCTGTGCCTGGCATTGACGCAAGACTTCGCTGGTCTTCGAGCAGTTGACGCAGTCCTCCGGCATTCACAGAACAAGCGCGTAGAATAGGCCCTCTCAACCTCTCAATACAGGAATTTGTCCAATGAAAGCCGCATCCAGAGACACCCTCCAAGAATTGAAGCAGCCCATCGAGGCGTGCCAAGCGTTTGGGGACAAAGGCTCCATCTGCAACCTGTCGATTTGGGTCTGGCACCAATTCCTGAAAAAGCTGGATGAGCCACTCTTCCAAACGAGACTGCACCAGTTGCGCCTGGCTTTGAAAAAGCATAGATTCCTGTAAAAAGGCACGTGCGGCCGTCTTTGCTGGCATTTCATCCGAAAGGCTGGCAAACACATTCTCAAAGCAAGCTTCCAAGGCATCTTCCTTGAGAGTCTTGTTGCATCTTCTGACCGCGTTCATGCTGAGATCAAGAAAGGCTTGCCTCACTGATGCCTTTTCGGCCCACAACGTCGCAGTTGAATGCTCACCTCGTAGTATAGCGACTAGGACTTGTGATGTTCGTGAACTAGTCTCATCCAGCCAAATCTCATCTCGATTCAAGTCTGGGAGTCCTGGAAGCTGCGCAGCACCCTTGTTCGATGGCAGAGACTGAGCGGACCTCGTGGATCTATGGAGCGAAAATATCTGAGCCAGGCCTTCCGGAATAGAACTGGAAACGAGCTCAACAGCTGGGGGCGAGTTCAGCAAGTGATGATTGATCTCATCTGTTAGCACTGCTTGCAGCCAAGCACTGAAACAGCTGCAGCTGGCAACGACCATTCTGGAGCCAATTTGACCATGAGATCGTCTGAGGAGCACTTTTGCCAGGGCTGTGCAAACCCCTGGGTAGAAACTTGCCAAGGTATCAATGGACTCAACCTCTGCCAGCGTCTGAAGTACTTCAGCACTGAGCAGCTGCTCCTCACGAGATGCCTCTTCCGATAGCATCGATACCGCCAAATGAGCAATGAATCCAGTTTGCATTTTGGAGATATCACTTCCCCTTGCAGAGTGCATAGACCACTTTTCCAACAAAATCTTCAGAATGCGTAAGAGCTGAACAGCCACAACCTCTATACCGCCACTTCTTCCAGCTGAGAGAACTGTTTCAAGCAAGCCACACACTCGTTCGCACAAGAGGGGGAAAACATTTGCAACCCTTTTTGCTGGTAGAGCATCGGGCCCAACCCGCACTAGTAGCAGCTGAAGCAATGAACACACATCTTCCAGTAGACGCCATTGCGGGGGGCGTTCAGCCAAGCGAAATACCACTGGTGCCAGGACATGTTCAAACCTTGTCCCAAAATCTTTTGAAGCAACCAAGGTAGACAACAGCTCTCTGCATGCATCTCGTGCTTTGGAGTTGTCTGGATCGCAAAGCTCGATGCATGCTCGGGAGATGGCGCACATGTGGAAACACTGTATCTGCACATTCACGAAAGTGGCCTGTTCGTTTTGATGTCGAATTGGACTTTGTTGGAAAAAGATCACCAGCCCTGCTTGAGATGTGGATTGTGATTCATGTGATTCTGATATTCCAGCAAGTTTGAAAGTCTTGGAATAGCCGTGTCAGGATTAGGAGCAAGTCCCTCAAACAGGTTCAGGTGCAACAAAGCACATCAAGCCAATATTACGGTGTCAGCGCTTAGTATTACACCCCCGACTATGCAGGCAGATCCATTCACCATTCATCAGGTGGCATGGATAGATGGTGGCATGAATAGACAGATCAATCGAACTGACTGGAATTCAATTCTTGTGGGGGTCATCTGTTGCCTTCCCATTCACATGCACGCCAATTGAATCTTGACGCCTCACATTTGGCAGGCAGCTAGCCTTTAAACATAAAAGAAGTCATTGCAAAACCCTCTGTTTTGGAAAATCGCGGCCAAGGAATATAAAAGGCTATGAATGGACATATCTGTGTGCTGTGACATGCGCGCTAGAGATTCATAGATCCAGAATTGAAAGCTCAGTTTGAACTCACACTTACATCCAGACTCTTTCAGAACCTCCATGGCCAGATTACCCCAGCCTGCTCGGCTCTTCCGCGGCTAGCACTTGCCACAGACCTACGAAGGCCAAACCTGGTGCGTCAATATCGAGCAACGCGCAGCAATTAGACATCAGCCTTGAAGAGACAGAGAACGAAGCTCAACTCGCATCCAAAAACGATCAAAAACGTATACTAAGTCAACATTATATATATATAAGATTATATAAGTAAACATTAAGCAAACTGGGGTGCGGCTGGAGTACTGCTGGAGTACTGCTGGGGTACTGCTGGAGTACTGTAAGGCTGAGACTGAAAAGCCCAATGGTCTGGTACCTCGCTGAACTGGAGCTGACTTGCTGCAACTTGCTGATTTCCCATCGACATATCTTGCCAATTCTTGCCAATTCTTTCCAACTCTTGCCATCCAGCAATCAATTTCAGACTGGCCACGTTAGCCGCCAGCCCACTGTACCAGCCAGGCTGTTAACCTCATCATCACACTATTCTGCAATCAATCCGTTCTGCCATAGGTTGCATTCCAAGTTTCCAACGACAGGAATCACGAACAAGGTGCCTGCGGCTCAGCAAGAAAATAAATCAAGATTCCTTTACCCGTTCATTCATTTTGAGTATGAGTATAAGAGTTGCTTCATGTCTAGTACCATCCCACTGTGCAGGTCGACCAATTTATCAACCTCCTCGCAACCAGACAAACTATGTTGTTTCCATCAAGTGATGTCGAAGCCGAAGCTCGGTCAAGAAGAAGAGGCCAAGAGCCATGCTTTGGGCTCTCTGTGACTAGTGCTGCTTTCGACACAAATCACCAGGCTCCAGTCTTTGCAAGAGCAGGGAAGAATGAATTGAATGAATCATGCTGGTGAGACGCGCATTAAAACTCAATAAATAAAATAATGCCTCTCGATCTTTGTCGTTCAGTTGGCCATCCGACATCATCCGACCATTTCTACTCCAGAAGCTCTGAGTCCACTGCCAGTTCCCTTTTAAGCTGCAAGAAGGTAGCCGATGTTCCACCACTTTTTCCATCAACATCAAACCTTCGTTCATGGGCCATTCGAGCAGCTTCCTCCTTGTAGTGCATGGCACGGTAAACTTCTGGAGGCATTGGCGCTGGTGGAAGCACGGCTTTACGATTGATCAATCTCTTTGCGACATCTGGAAATGGTGGCCGTGGTGGTGGTTCCTCCGGCGGCAGGACCCTTGTGCTGGGACCAATGTAACGCCGAGCAAACGCGATGAAAGCATCTCCTTCGTCCTCAGGAATTTCCTCCTTGACTTGGATATTTAGGACTTCGAGCACTGAAGCTGGTACAGGAGGTGGTGCAGAACGAACGTAAGCCATCGCCCTGTAATACATCCAGGTCTTCTCCCGACTTACTAAGAACTGCTTCAAAGCAGATTCCATGTGTTGCAGTAACTTTCGCAGCTTGACGACCTGCTGCAGGAGCTGTTCACACTGCAACTCCACAGTATCAGCTCGCAAGTGCAAACCTTCGCTCCAGATGGACAGAAGGATCCAGTCCTGGACTCGGCCAAGAATGACAAGAATGACTTCAGAATGACAGCAAAGTTCCTGTGAGGCCACATTTGCAGAATGCAACGATCAAAATGAACTCCTGTCCTTGTCTTCGACGTCATCCAGCCTGAACACTCGCAGAACACTCAAATGGAATACCAAGTGTCATCAGGGTCTGGAATGATACTAGTGTGATTTGCACAATGCTGTAGAAATATGCATGCGCTGCTAAGCCAAGCGACATACCCACCAGGCCGTTGACAAGGGCGTCAAAGCTGAGGGTGCCTGACACTTTCTTGTCGAAAAGTCGCAGCAGGCCTCTTGAAGGGCAGGGAGCGCAACACTTCTGAAATGACACAATGAACATCATACAACAGCATCCAGTTTGCTCGTGGAAGACACCCTCATGAAGTCTTTTGAAACATATGAATTTGACGAAGTCACTCTCAGCATCCATGACTGGAACTTCAAAGCTGTATAGGGTCTGGACGAACTCCTGGCACTCGAAAACAACAAGTCAAGAGAAGTCAAAAGCACAATACAGTGCAATTTAAAGCTGACACACATCAAAAATCTAGTGAGTGCTACCAGTGACAAAGTCAAAACTGCAACTAAGAATGAGACAATGAGGCACATTATTTCAGGACTGTGGCTCAGAAGTGGCACAACAGCGTTTGGCACAAGATTATTTGGGTTGCGTAATTGTGAGACATCCCCTACTCGCTGGGCTAAAAGTGCCACAATCCTACCAGGGTCTAAAAATGAGGCAAAATCCTGGAAATCAATACAAAAAAACCCTGAGGATTCTATGGGAAGCACTATGGGAAGCACATCAACAGCAGTCTGCCTTCTGCTTCAAAGCAGCATCAAGTTCATCAAAGTCAAGCTCACCATCTCCATCCTGCGCGGTGCCATCACAGGCTTCAACCCATCCAACCAACGCCAGAAAAGAACCAGCGGCCTCATCAATCATTCGGAGCAAAGTTCTCGCACGTCTTCCTGCATTCTGCCGATTTTCGCGCTCGACCTGCACACTGCTGTGAAAAAAAAACTCATGCAGGTGCAATTCATCGCTTCTCCTTTTCTATTTTTCTTTTCCCATGCGATGCTCGAGCCTCCTTGGTTGATGCCTCCAAAACCCTAGATGTCTCAATTGCATCCTGCGTTGGATCAAACCCTGCTCTGCTCAGTGTCAAAATTGCATCAAAAAGTCTTTCTCCGCAATCCGCCTGTCCTGAACTATGTTCGCAACTACCTGGACAGCAAATGAATGTTTTTTTTTAAATGATTATATATATAATTATATATGTATATATCATCCATTCAGTGGGGAGCTTTAGGGTTTCGATTTTCGCGGCAAATAAAGAACCAACTCAAGACGGGACAGAACTAATTTTCACTCAACGCGCATTGCTCTCAAATCCTTCAAATCATTCAGGCAAGGCACACATACAATGAGACCAAAGGTCGTAACAAGCAGGAAAAGGCCCCAAAAAGCGACAGTCATTGGATACCTTGAAGCTCCAGGGTGGCAATGACCTAGTTCACTGCAACTAGTATGCCCATATGAACATACATACATGTTACATATACTCTGCACGTTTGAGTGCGCAGCGGTACAGATGTTTAAATAAGATTGGACAAGATATTTTCATGTCTGGCTTGCAGAGGCCAATACAGTTCTCCACGTGCGTTCTCAAAGATATTGCGTGCCATGCGACTCAAAAGCAATAGGTCGAGCTATGTTGTTTGCCCACTGCGCTGTGGTGACCACCTGGTCGAAAGTTTCCAGCATTTCAAAACCCCAAGAAAGAAACATAGACATATACGAGTATATAAAGTGTGTGTATATATATATGTGTGTGTGTCATATCTCTCTCCATCGCCCTCTCCGGAAGTTGATTTATATGTATCTCGCTATTATTACACTTATCAAACTTACCAAAGGAAGTTTAGAAGTCAAAGATCTAACAATATAGACAGATGGAACAGCATAGGTGGGAAGAGTCAGAGAAGATAAAGGAAGAAGAAAGAAGATCAGAGAAGAGAAAGTGTCAGAAGAAGGAAGATGCAGCGGCATGAAAAGGTAGAAAAATCGCGAAACACTGTGTTTTTCCAATGTTTTGTGGCCCCGGAAAGTCGAAAAGTAGGCTCGCTAAAGCGGCAGGTGCGAGCCATCTGGGGAGATGAGAAATTAAAAATTGCACCCCGTTGTGGCGCGAAACACATTTCGAAGTCAAAAGTGTTAAAACGACCGGTCTCGGAAATGGTGGTTCCTTAGACCCCCCCTACCCTTCGTACCTGTTGGAATATTTTGGAAATAAAATGTTCCACCACAGTCGAAGCTTGTTCTGGAAATATATATTCTGCTGCTATGTTGTCCACGTATGGAATGATTTTCAGCAATTTTGCTTCCAAAAATATTCCAGCAACATGCGAACCTCATATTGGAAAATATTCTAAGTATGTGCTGACGGTATCTGGGCTGAACATGTTTTTTTCCGGTGATGTTTGGCACCATCTCCGTTCTGTCTATTTCAGTAGCGTGCTGGGACAAATGCATCGTTGGAACAAGTTGCAACATGGCAAATTTCAGGCGGCACCGGCGCAGGGCCGAACCGCGGCATCCTCCAAGCTATCCGTGAACTCTGAACTCTGAAAGACTCTGGCTGCGGACAGGAAAAAATGGTTGGTGCATTCTTTCCGGTAGCCTGGAACTGTTTCAGCTAGCGTCACTGTGAGGTTGCGCAAACCAAATTTCAAGCCCTTAGCATCCCTTAGTTAGCAAAGCCACGCTGTCATATCAGGTTGCCTTGATTTTGCAGGGCTCCGGTTAAAATATTGCAGCTTTCTTCCTACATACTACATGTCATTATAACAACGCCACTTCCACACAGAGTTGGTTATGCCAAAAAACAAGATGTAGCCCACGAACCCGAATGCAGTCACCTAAAAAGCTTTTGTGAAACAAGTTATTTGAAAAGTCTTGTACTTTTTCCCCCTGTTACCCTACCAGTGCACTTAGGCTGTGGAATGTGGAATGGGGTGGGATGCAAAGTGTGGAGCGTGAAGAAAGTGGAGTGTTGAGTGGGGAATGTAGTGTGTAGGGTGTGGAGTGTCGAGTGTAAAGTGTAAAGTGTGAAGTTTAGAGTGCAAAGTGCAAAGTGTAAAGTGCAAAGTGTGGAGTGTAAAGTGTGGAGTGCGGAGTGTAAAGTGTAAAGTGTACACTATGAGGTGTGGACTGTGAAGTGTGGAGTGTGAATGTAAAGTGCGAAGTGTGGGGTGTAGAGTGTGGAGTGTAAAGTCTAAAGTGTAAAGTGTGGAGTGTGAAGTGTGAAGTGTGGAGTGTGGAGTGTTGAGTGTAAAGTGTGGAGTGTGGAGTGTGGAGTGCGGAGTTTGAACTGTAGTGCACAGTGTGAAGTGCAAAGTGCGGAGTGTAAAGTGTGGAGTGCAGAGTGTGGAGTGAGGAGTGTAGAGTGTGGAGTGTAAAGTGTGGAGTGTAGAGTGTAAAGTGTGGAGCGCAAAGTATAAAGTGTGGAGTGTGAAGGGCGGAGTGTGGACTGTAAAGTGTAGAGTGTGGAGTGTAAAGTGTGGAGTGTAGTGTGGAGTGAGAGTGTAGGGTGTGGAGTGTAAAGTGTATAGTGTGGAGTGTGGGGTGTAAGGTCTAGAGCGTAAGGTGTGAAGTGTCGAGTGTGAAGTTTGAGTGAGGAGTGTAAAGTAAGGAGTGTAGAGCGTGGAGCGTGGAGTGGGGTGTACAGTGTGGAGTGTGGAGTGTAAAGTGTGGAGTGTAAAGTGTGGAGTTGAAAGTGTAAAGTGTGGAGTGTAAAGTGTACAGCGTAGTGTGGAGAGACGAGCGGAAAGTGAAAAGTGTGGAGTGTAGAGTGTGGAGTGTAAAGTGTAGAGTGTAGTGTCGGGTTTAAAGTGTAAAGTGCGGACTGTGGAGTGTCAAGTGTATAGTGTGTAGTGTTGAAAAAATGAAAGTGTGGACTGTGAAGGGTGGGGTGTGGAGTGTAAAGTGTAAAAGTGTGGAGTGTAGTGTAAAGTGTAAAGTCTAAAGTGTAAAGTGTAGAGTGTAAAGTGTGGAGTGTCGAGTGTGGAGTGTGGAGTGTGGAGAGGGGTGTAAAGTGTGGAGTGTGGAGTGTAAAGTGTGGAGTGTGGAGTGTACAGTGCGGAGTGTAAATTGTAAAGTGTGGACTGTCAAGTCTGGAGTGCAAAGTGTAGAGTGTGGAGAGAGGAGTGGAAAGTGAAAAGTGTGAAGTGTTCAGTGTGGAGTTTGGAATGTAAAGTGTGGAGTGTAAAGTGTGGAGTGTGGAGTTGAAAGTGTAAAGTGTGGAGAGCGGAGTTGAAAGTGTAAAGTGTACAGTGCGGAGTGTAAAGCGTAAAGTGTGGAGTGTAAAGTGTTTAGTTTAAAGATGTTTAAAGTGTAGAGTGTAGAGTGTGGAGAGAGGAGCGGAACTGAAAAATGTGGAGTGTAAAGTGTGGCGTGTGAAGTGTAGAGTGTAA